TCAAACTTGGAGATCCATCTGCCTTTGCCTCCTGAGTGCAAAGACTAAAAGTATACACCATCACACCCAGCTTCAATTTCTTATATGTATTAAAGCTTGCTTTGTGTCTATTTTAGAGAAAGTTCTATGTACTGCAGAGAAGAATATGTATTCTGAAGTATTTGGATGGGATATTCTAGAGCATCTGCTAAGTACATTTGCTCTACAGTACCATTTAACCCTTATGTTACTTTGTTGATTTTGTAACTGAATTTTGTAACCTGTCAACTACTGAGAATGAATTATTACAGTTGCCCACAGTTAATGTGTTGAGGTCAGTCTTCACATCTAGTACTGTTTGTCTAAAGAAATTGCACACACTAGTGTATGATCCAGATGTGTTTAAGGTTGTGCTATTTGATGGATTGTCTCCTTAGCTAGTATGACGTGGCCTTCTTTGTTTCTTCTAAGTTTGGTTTGAAGTCTGCTTTGTCAAGGATTGGTACAGCCACACCTGCCTGCTCCTCAGTTTCAGTTGCTTGGGACACCTTCCATTCTCTCCCCATAGGCTGTGCTTATTTTTGCCAGTCAAGTGCATTTCCTGCTGACAACAGGAGATGGGTCCCATTTTTAAAGCCAATCTGCTAGGGTGTGTCTTTTGATTGGAGAACCGAGACCATTAGAATCCAGTTATTAACAGGTCATGTGGTGCATGCCTGTAATGACTGTATGTGGGAGGCAGAGGAAAGAAGATCATTCCAAGTTCAAAGACAGCATGAGCAACAGTGATTTTTTTTAATTTATTCATTTTTACCTCTTTATGTGCATTGGTATTTTGCCGTGGGTGTCAGGTACCCTGGAACTAGAGCTACAGACAGTTGAGAGCTGCCATATGGGTGCTGGGAATTGAACTCAGGTCCTCTAGGAAGACCAGTCAATGCTCTTAGCCACTGAGCCATCTCTCCAATTCCAAAACAGTGATTTTTTTTCCAGGACTCAGTTAGGGCTATATATTGGGACCTTATCTTAAAAAAAAACAAAAACAAACTAAGAATTTAGTTATTAGCCAAAGGTGGTTTAACAAATGTGACTTCGTAGCATGCTCTATGCTAGTTATGCTGTTGTTTTCTAATTACCAGTGATTGTAGGTGATAATAACTCATTTGAAGTGTATTTCTATGCCCTCAGCAGTTTGACACTGTTGCTGTTAGAGCGTGGGTTTGTTTCTTCTCAGTGAGTGGGACTGGGGACCAGGGCATCAAGAGTCTGCTGCTGGTCAATAACAAGACTCCCAAACAACACAGGAAGAGATACCAAAGCCAATAGGCAGGCAGAGCACAACACAAGAAAGAGGAAAACACCAAGGCAGCGTGACTCCTCCAAAAGTCCATAACCTCTTAGCTGCTGAATTAAAGAGGTTGAAACCGGTAAGAGGATGGACCGTTACTAAATGGAGCTGCAGAGATGAGTAAGTGGGTAAGGGCACTTGCTAAGCAGGCTTGAAGACCTGGGTTCTGATCCCTGGCACCCATGTGAAAGCCGGGGTGGCCCTTCTTGCTGTGGCACACCTGTTACCCCAGTGCTGAGGTAGGGTGAAGACAGGAGGATTGCTGGAATTTGCTGGCTGCCAGCCTAGCTGAAAAATCTGTACACTCCAGGTTTGGTGAAATAATCAGTGTCCTCAGAAATGACACAAAAGAGCGCATGACTTCAGTTCATGGCCTGGAGAGGGAAATCAGCAGCACACAAGACAAAGTCAGCGACGTGGATGAG